CCCCAAAACCCCAAAACCCCAAAACCCCAAAACCCCAATCATTTCTTATGTCATTGAAAACTCTATTTGTAAATTATTTTCTCCAACTCTTCCCTCTAAGTCACACTCTCACACTCTAGGTTCAAAATCCAGCTCCAAACCCTTAAAATATATCTAAAACATCATATCTTCACTCCAAACTTAATTTTTTAATATCTACTATTCCCAGTCATCCCAGATATACATCCTCTGCAGCACTAAAGTGTCACCACTGTCTTACAGCTCCAAGGCATCCAAATAGGAACTCACATATCTGTTCGCACTTGCTTCTGTGATTCCTTCTTCTTTCATTTGCATGTAATCTACGGGTTATAATCTCCTCTGCACTCATATCTTTCTCTACAGAGATATCAACCCAGTTCAAATGTGAAGAAAACTTATTCTGACGAAATGGGACCAGCAAATATTCCTGAATCTGACACTATCAAATATCCATATTTCTTGTGGGAGAATTGAGTGGATTTTAGTACATATTTAAGCAGGAAATCCTTGTAGGTAGAAAGACAGTAACTTAGATGGGGCTTAAGGTAGAGCACCAAGGAAACTTACCATCTTTATGCTCCTCTAAAGCACTAGCAGGCGTTCCAGGAGGCACCCCAGCAGACATTGCAGCAGCCATCTTCTTCCAAGGCTGGAAGTCATCCTGATTTCTACGAGGAGAGACTCTTTCAGGTATTCTGTTAGGAGGTGCAACTGGAGTTCCAATCGTGATGTCGGGCCTACAATCAAATGTAATAAGCTAAACTAGAGAAAAGTCTTGGCTGGAAGCTCTCAAGGAAAAATATCGTGCTTCATAGCTCTGATCAGTCTCTTTTCTTTGATAAAGAAGTTTTGTCCAAATATGTGATTCTTTTACACATTTGGAAATCTTCAATGTAAAATCTCATTTCCACAGAAATTTGGATAAATGTAAAATTTATCAATGAAACTTAGTCTAAAAATGAAAATTCTCCGAGTCATTTCTTGAAAATACTGACTCTATCATTGGCGAGCTCGAAGGTGACACTCCAGCACTTTCTTCTATGTCTGAGTCCTTGCTGAATGAGATATTAGAGATTATGAGAGGAAAAATAACGCTCAAAAGAGGCTCTTACGACTTATCAGTATCCTTTACTGATACATATGGATAATCTTTTTCCAGATCTTTGTAGGACATCAAAATTTAAATAATTATGTTTTCCACTTTGTGATCTATAAAGGGGTTTTGGGGTTTTGGGGTTTTGGGGTTTTGGGG